AAGGGGGCCGACCAATTGCTCAGCTGTTTCTTTAAGGTGATGCAGCAGGAGACGGGGGAGGGAAGGGGAGGGGGGAGGGCAGACTGCGTGCAAAAAACCCTGGAGCTTTGGGTTTTCTTTTTATGTTAGGGCTCATCGGAAGACAGGCCAGGATAAGTGGAGCGGATGATCGCTTAGGCGAATTTCCCACTGATTCTGTTCTAGCAGAGCCCGATTGCGACTGAGCTTGTGCTGCGGGCCTGAGTCAGCACATCTGACAGCTGGATTGGTAGGATGTCCATTTATTCGTATCTACATCCCATACCCTGAACCACAGCACGGTTCACCAAAAGACGCACGATTAGTACTCAGAGCCTGAGGTTTTGCGCAACACGAACCTCTATCCCCCCGCCGAGCTTTTGGTTGAAACGCCGCAGAAGCAGCTCTATTATCCAGCAAGAATACTGCCCCCTCCAGCGGGCCGAAGCTGATGGACTCGCATCCAGTGCTAGCCTCTCGCACCCAGCCGTGTTGACGGACTAGAGCTCTCAGGCGAGGAGCGGGCAATCAAGGGATGATCGCATTGTCGTGTGCCCTGTCTGCGGCCTGCGAGGTCTTGATAGAAATTTGAGGCCTAGTGTTGGCCACCCGGGCAAAGATCTACTCGTACCAGTGCCAGCTCACCGATTCCTCATGTTAAAGATCCAGAAGAGCTCGATGATGGGTGCAGTGTGTTCCGCTCCTCGCCGCAGGTCATGGCAAACGTCTCTGAGGCCACCAGCATCAGAGTAGCACAGGACGGTGCAACGTGCATCTCAGCTCGAGGGACCCCCAAGCCCAGAATAAAGAAGGGCACACCACTCCATCAACCCGAGAGATTTCAATCGTGTAGAAGTCTCATCAGCTGCAAGCTGTCAGCAGACTTGTGACCTATGAGAAGGTCATCGCTTCTGTCAGGCAGTGCAGCAAAGGCTACTCGAGCTGGAGAGCCACTAGCTTAGAGTGGTCTGGTGTTGACGTATGATGCTTGGGGCTTGCAGCGCGTGCACCCATCACTCGTAGTCATACTCCCGGGTTCCGGAAATTCTGCGGGCGGCAGCTAAAGCTTAATAGAAGACCAAGATTGGAGTAATGACGAAGTTGTTGCCTTAGACCACAAGTGTAAGCTGGTGACACGTGCTCCACTCGCTGGTGCCGATCAGCTGTGACCTTCGTAGCTCTGGCTGCAATTGTTGAAGCGCGGATCGGAATTCGAAGGCCAACAGGGCGCAAACCGACGGCCAACGTCCCTTCAGGTCTCATCTCCGAAGTCCGCAGCCAGTCGTCCCGGGGAAGTCCAAGTCCCCGGCGAGCCAGTGGGCAAGGCCGGGAGAGGGCGCGAAAAACGGATCGGAGCCGTCTATAGTACATAGTTAGTTTTCCAGATCTATACCATCTTCTGTCCTTCGATGCCTCTGACCGCCATGTGGACCTAGGCCCACTCATGTCTTGTTTCCACCAAACTCGCCAGTTTCAGGAGAACTATCTCTGGATCTACTTGTGGCCAGAACACCGTATCACATAACATTGCACCTTTTCATCCAAGTCATGTGCTTGAGTCTTATGGCCTAGCCAGGCCTTGTACGACGGCGGCCTGCATCGGCCGGGGCCCGCCGAGGTCCTAGACGTGCTTAGATGGTGAAGCATTCGAAGATGCTTCAACACGACTCTTGCCAAAGACCACCTTTTTTTTCTGATTTCGGAAGGATCCGTCTTTGGCAGAGACCAATGAACAGATGCACGGGCACCTGAGGTCCAAACAGGCCTCCATCTTCGAACGCCGGATGGCCGCCCTTCCAGTTTGTCGAGCCTTGTTGTGAGGGGTTGAAGCTCTAGATTCGGGTAGTGAAATGTCCAGGGGATGGTGGCTTGTTTCTACAATACTTTGTTGCATATGTGGAGAGGCGAGGAGACACCAGTTTGTGTTTACGCACACCAACCTGTAAGCATGCAGACATGTTTGGTTGCAAGTACGCATACTGTACATGTGCGTGTCTGCGCACGGCTTCTTGTTGAAGCAAGCAAGGCAAGTAAACATGCAAATGCTGATGACATGTGCCATGTGCAAGTGCCCGAATCGTCTATGCACGCGTACTTGCCATCTTTTAATGCCGCTTGCACATCAGTCGGTTCTCAACGAAAGGTGGATGAGCTGTGCTTGCTATGGAGAGGTGTCAACATACGACACTGAGTTGCGGCATACACACCGGGTTAAATGTTTCTCGCGACAAGTTTGTTATCTTTAAAGGTGCCTGCATGAATTGCTGCTTCGACTCTGGGCGGATGGTATTCAAGAGAATCTGCGGCTTGCAGCAGCTTGCCCACGCACATGCCAAACAGTTTTCAAGACCCCGTTGCTACCAATGAAGACAATCAAATGCCTGGTGCAAACCTTCTCCGAAACTCTTGCATGCCCTGCATGCTGACGAGACCTTCATGGAAAGCCCGGCCAGGTCACCGAGACCCCACTCTGCGCGCTCTGCAGGGAGCTTAGCGTTTCTCAGTCATACAGTGGTAGCGTAGCATTCTTGCTCAAATTCTCTAGAATCATGTTGCCACGCTTCAGTACAGTAGACACCTGCGCGGTATGGGTTTCGGCATGTTTGACTTAATTAGTGTTGGCTTCCACGGCGGCTTAGAATAAATATTTTTGTGTATGCACTTACCGCCCTACCTGGCTGCCTGCTTGCCTGCCTGCCTAACTACTACGGTACATCACATCCGTTACCCTGATGAATGGGTTCCATCTGCTGATGGATAGAGGCCGCCAAGCGCAGCAATGTCCAGAGGGTTTGTATGATATGCTCTTGGTGTGTGGGAGTTGGGGCGGGCAGAGACAGAGACAGACAGAAACAGAGCAGAAAGAGAGACAGACAGACAGACAGACAGACAGGGCCAAACAGTTTCAGGCGCCGATCCCGACAAGGCCCGTATGCATCAGAAGGTAGCAAGACTCTCTCCACTGCCTACTGTGATCGGGCTACTGCCTGCAAGGTTTCACAGTGACGGTTTCAGAGTATGGGTGAAGGGGCAATGGCAAGCGATTGTTGCACAGTTTTTTCCAAGCGATGCTGTGATGCTGTAAGCCGTCGTCTTTGATGCTAGTGATTGTTTGACACGCATTGCCAGCAAAAGCTTGGGCCCAACTGTGCAGCCCATAGGACCCTCAACACTATCTGACGACAAACTCTGTTGGACATCCGTTGTTTGCAGGGAAGACGAGGACCACACGCAGGCACAGGCCAACTCGCAGATTGAGACGCGCGAGGGTTTCCCGGGTTCATGGCATATGCCGCCATGCAAGGTCGAAGGCACTAAGATGGCATCCTGTGATTTCCCACTTTGCTGGCACAAGCGGAAGGTCATTGCAGATGTCTAGCTAGTTCGAGAAGTTCCAGTCCGGCTCAAAATCAGCAGCAAGAAGATGCTTGAAAGCATCCTGGAAGCCGAGTGAAAACCAGACTGACCTGCCAGCTGGAGGCCAGCCCAAGGGGCCCAACGACGCAGGACTTCCAGTCCATGCTGGAGCTCGTCGGGTCGAAGGTGTCCGGGTTTGCCGAGTTTGCCGTGCGGAAGGGATGGGAAGGGCTTTGGATGGGTCTGGAGGGGAGAGATGTTATGTGGGGCAGAGCAGGCTTTTGACAGTGCATCCTGCAACTGATCTCGCTTGGATAGTTCAGATGTTGCTCCAACCTTTTCAGATCAGAGTCGCTAGATTCGCAGCAGAGGCAGCCGCGAGATTCACCTCCTTGCAGCAGTGCTTCCGAATGGCCTCCCGTCAAGAAATGTGCTTCGTAACAGCCAATGCCATCTTGCAAATCTCAGCATGGAACAGAGGGCCTCGATGGAACAGTTCGTAGTCCACTGTCAAGTGCTGAGGGCTAACTTGACGCGTAGGTCGGCTCTAGTCGATGTATTGCAGGATCACAGGAGCGCTGCAACACTGGCATGGACTGCATAGCAATTGAACCCAAACGTATTTGATTATCATGTTATGATATGTCTTGTGTCGGCATGAACGACTTCAGGACCACCAAAGTCCAGGCTCGAGCACGAGGGAGTGAGTAGGCCGACAGGGAGTGAGCATTATTTTTTCAGGCCTCCTTGGACACCGCGACACATGGCAGAGGTCCTTGCTGCAATGAAGATTACAAATCAGGACTGCTACAGGACAGGTGCCATCCAGTAGTACGTGAATCTGAATGAACACACGAATTGGGGAGCTTTGCGAATTCCGACGAACCAACCTCAGGACATGCTCGAACTTTTGGAGCTATGCGATTAGTTACGATTAGTTAACTTCAGAGTTTTTTGGAAGTAAAGAAGCGTTATTCTACACAGTGCAGGAAGTGACTGGGGTGCTTCACGTGCACAAACAATGCACTCGGTGCCCTCAAATCCTACAATGCATAGACCCTGACACTGCTTCGCGAAGATTGTTCTGCTGAGCTTGCCTACACAAATTGACCTGGATACCTGGAACACCCATACAGTGCCGCACCGTGCTGAGTTGGATGCCGACCACAATGGCAGGGCCGTGAGCCGAGAAACCGCCTTTGCTTGCTTCTATGTCTCTAAGTCTGGCTGTTGTCTCGGGGCGTTGGCAGTTCGTTCTCGCGAGGCAAGCTGCCAAACCTCGGCATTCCTTCTCGGGCTCTCTTTTCTCGCAATGTCGAGCTGCTGTGATAGTGCGCACTCGACACTGACAATGTCAAGCGACAGCTGGATGCCAGCAGGAACAAGCATGATAGTTGCTACATCATCCGGACACTTGTCATCCAGAGGAATCCAGAGGGCAAGCTTGTTTGGATCATGGTCAGGCATGGCATCTTTTATTTTGGCTCTCACTAGTCGGAATACATAGCACCTCGTACTTGTTCTTTCTTGAAGACCAAAGAACCTCGCCGGCTGAGCTTCTAGCTGGAGCTACCTCAGACTCATCAAAGCTGACTGAAATCAAAACCTGTACCGTGGAAGCGGCCATGGATGGTACGGCGGAAACTCCGGTTTCTTCAACCTTTCGAGATGCTCGCGCAGAGCTACAGAGCCTCGATCGACTGTGTGTCTGTTGCAGGGATTTCGGAAGACTCATGTGGGGTGGAGGGTCACAGTCGATTTGAACGACGGTGGCTGTGGTAAGTCTCGGGGGCTTGGCCATGCAGAGGTAAAACTTAGAACAGGCATATGGTTTCAGAGCTGTAATGCCGTGAGCGCCCTGAACTGTGCGACGCGTCCTAGTGCCACGTAACGTAACCGAAGGCCGTTTGTCCCAACAGGTAAAAAAGTCTAGAGCTAGTCTAGAGTCTAGGAGTCCAGGCGTTCAGAGTTTATGAGAGTTTAAGCAAACTCCGAGCTCCTGCGCGCCCCTCGCAAGGAATGCTTTGTCTGAGCTGCAAACGGACCTTGCGAGGGTGCTCGAAGAGAAGGCTTCCGGGTTCGGAATTCAGAAAATAGCTCTTTGGAGTTGCCCAAAGTCGGGTGGCTTGTCTCTCCCCAAATCGACTAGTTACTAGAGACTACACAAAAAGGGTGTGGATACTAGCTTTCGCTTCTTTCAGTTTTGGTTCGAAGATCAGTGGCCTACGCTACCGAAGCGAGACCGGAAGGCTTCGGGATGGACACGTCGCCTGGAAATTCGCATGCAAACATGAACACCCCAAACACCAATCACCTGCATCAGAGGACAGAACCCCTTACTGAGGACCTCAGGCGTGTCGCCTTTGCATTCAGTCACCTCAGCGTCATGTGCACACGAAGGTGTCCGACTTCCAGATGCTTCTGGCGGAGTTACCATCCGAGCTTCCGGCGGGAATTCCAATTGTCCCGGCGCCCTCGTAACTCTTTTGCAACATGTGCCTGCGTTTAGCATATTGAGGTCTAATGGCACGTCTTGACGTGGCTTTGCGCGAACTCATTGTGACAACCCTTGCGGCAGATAGGGCCTGGTCCTCAAGTTCATGTGCCTGGCAGCATTTTCTCCGAGGCCCAAGCGCGACATGACAAAGGAGTTGATGGAAACAGGTCCTGCGGTCGAGAAGGCGGTTCGGATTGAGGCAGAGATGTGCTGCGTGTCTTTTCCGTTAGCAAAGGACAAAGGGCACAGCAGCTCGACTATCTTTTGACAGCTTTAGGGCTAAGGGATAGAGATTGGGCCCTCCCCTTCCGGATCGGGAGTGAACTTGTGGTTCTCTCATATCGAATTTCCAGCCCGCAGGGCATGGAGCTCCACTCCGGCACATCCGCACCTCGATCATCCGCCCGATCCACCAGAGCCAGTGGCATGAGGACCCTGGAGCAGGAGCTCTTCGTGTCGAAGTGGCTCGGCTGCTGTAGCTGTGTTTGGCACTCTGACTTCAACGTTGAGACCGTCCGAGCTACCTTCTGAGTCCAAGGAAGGCCGCGACGAATTCCCAGCGAAATTTCCGGTGAGCCTGCATGGCTTGAGAAACGTCATGGTGATCCACTTCAGTGCGCATGTTGAACATCGATGTAAGTCTGACAGCCTGGAGTAGGGTCAACTCCGAGAAGCAGCAACGGGCCCGGAATGCATTATGATTCCTGAACTGCTGACCCGATCTTCCTGTGGCATTTCGTTGCTTTGTCGAGAAGTCCAGACTCAAATGGGATTGAGCAGGATCGCCCGGTTCAATGCGAGCCACTGTAGGCACCGCAATATTATTCAACCCTGGCTCCGCACAGAAGGCATCTCTAGGGATGTTGCAAGGAGTTGGGGTTGTAGAAGTCTTGGCACAGAGAGAGTGAGAGGCTCCTATGCCCTAGAGAGAGAGAGAGAGAGAGAGAGAGAGAGAGATAGATATGCATCGTTGCGTGCTGAAATTGTAAACAAATAGTCTATATAGTCATGCATACATGTGAACAATGGCACGAGTAAACAATCAAACGCCGTAAACACATAGGCGAACACATGCACGACTGCATAAACGAAACACATAGATCGATAAATACGTGTATGCCTATCTATCGAAATTGTCCACAGAGGCCTACTGGTAAAAGGGAAATCGTGCATGCTCTTGCTTGCATCCATGGATCCGGGGCACTGGTATGACAGGCGCGAGAAGTCGTACGTCGGCTACGTGCAAAAGGGCCTCTTGCCGGATTCCTGCCGGTGTGTGTGTGTGTTGCTATCACAGGACTTAGAGTTCGGTTTAGGAGTTTGAGCTGTCCTTTGGGGTTCGCAAGTTAGCACCTTGCCCCTGATCCTTCCCCCTCTCCCACAAAAAAGGCTTTTCAGGAAGTTCATGAGTAGTGTCTAGGACGGAGTTTAGGAAGCATGGTTTGGGGTATCGGGGTTTCTTGGTGCCGGTCCCGGACTGTGTATTCAGATTCAGGATGGAGTTGGGAACCTGCAAGGGTAGCATGGGTGGGAATGGGCTATGAAGAGAGGGATCGCGAAGAGGTTGCCTGGCATGTGCTACTGCCTAGAGTGCAGTAGTTCTCGCTCGCAGATCGCCTTCAGGCTCTTTCCTCGGACTCCTCGTGGATTCTATTGGTTGCAGAGCTGGGCTCAGTTGTGAGAAGGTGTGCTTTGCGAGGTGGGGGCACGGAAGCTCCGTTCTCCCGCCCCTGTCCTCAGGATCATTCTTTGAAGGAGCCCTTGGAAAAGTGCCTCGGATCATTTCAGATTCTTTCTAAAACCTGCAAGAAGATTACAGTTTTTGCCAAGAACTGGGCTATTGGGGCTATAGTCAAATAGCTTGATTTCATGAGGCCATCCAATAAGTTTGCGGTGGAAGAGCGTCCTGGACCCTCAACGGGCAACTGTTCACATGTCGGGTCTGCAAATGCACCTTTTCTTCAGGCCGTACAATCGGATCTATCAGACATGTCCATGAAACTAGAAGAGTCATGACTTGTCCCCTCCGTCCATCAGTGCGTCACGCTCGCATCCGCATCCGCACAGCAAAGCAGACTTAGCAAGAACTAGCATTGCAAGCCAAAGTAGCCAGCAGAAGCCTTGCGGAGCAAAGTCAGCACCCTACTTTGCCGGTACGGTCTGAGCAGGTTTGTTCCTTTGATTGTGAGCAATTATTTTCGGAATAGCTGCGGTACCCCGCCCTTGACTTCAACACTTCCCCGGGAGAAGCCATCGACGTGGTAAGGTGGACCAGCTGCGTGCGCTGCAGGCGCATGCGCCCAAAACCTGCCCAGTTCAGCTCTGTGGCCACCTGAAATCCGGCTCTGAACCGGGCCACACCAAAGGGAAGACCTGAGAGGAACGGGAGGTGCGTGTCCGCACAGCTTGTGTGAGTGACTTTGCATAGCCTCTATTCTTGGCAATGCTGTGTCAATGTGGATGGAGAACTGGCCTTTTCCACAAGTACTTGCCATGATTCCTTCACCGCACTTGTGCGGGCGGGTGGGGGCGGGGGGACACATTGGACCAGAGAGAACTAGAGGTCATCGCCTTGCAAAGAGTACGAAACGTCTCCAACTCCCTAGAACACGTCATGGGTCCAGGCATGGTAGGGGCAAGAAATGTAAGAGCCGTGAAGTAGCAGACATACGGAGCTCCATTAATTGAACCTGCAGCTGCAAGATGCATTGAAGTGTATTATCGCAAATGCAAGCGAAGCGACCAAGGCCACTCAACTGCCACTCACCCGGGCCTAGGGGCGAGCAGCAATGGGAACGGCCGAAGCATTTGAGCTTGCAGCCGCTCTGCAAAGTGTACGCCTTCTGGCGACGAAGCCCCAAACGGTTTTGTCAGCACGAAGTTAATATGCCCTTTGCAGTGCTTTGTATCGCACACCCTTGACTTTGGAAAGTGGCGAGCCTGTGAATCTTCCGCCGGCAGGAGCCTCCCCGCAGCGGCTGCTGTGCGAAGTTGGTGCGCTCATCCGCCTTCCAGTTCGCCTGGAGCCCACAAGAGGTTGGAAGGTCGAGCAGAGTTTGGGGTCTTCTGACTTCCACATAAGCCCTTTATGGACCTTTGCAGGATATTGCGGAGCTGTGGGCAACAACTCGAGCCACGAAAACCCGACACAACAGCAGTCAAGAAAGGCGGATTCACCGGAAACAAAGCAGGAAAGCCATGAAGCTGGCATGCTCTTTTCTGTTGCTGGCCCTACCTGTCCAAGCATGTTTTTGTGCAACGAGAGGTCAGTCACACCACGTAGCACGGTGTTGTAGTTGCATCGGTAGGCCAACAACTCTGGCTGCAGGGATAGGGCTGTCGAGGAGCGTCCTTTTCTGACAGATCAGCCCACAGCCGAACCAGCTGCAAGGTCACGACCGCTGTCATTATGGCCAACTGCCTGACTCTTCTGATCTCAGCGAGCCTTGCTGCATGCGAACCGAAGTTCTCACAGCATTATCTCATTCGTTGCTACATGGCGAGCAGACACCCAACTGATGACCTTTGCACAGCAGCAGGTGCCCGCATACCCATGCCGGAAGGAAGCGAGAGAAAGAGAGAGAGAGAGTACTGCACCTGTTTTGCCTCTAGAGCCGCTCACGAAGATATCATACCCCAAAACCTCGACTTTCCCCCAAAGCCCCATAACACGTGGGGGGCCACAAGGCCAGGGGACTTAAAACGTCCCCTATGCCCAATGAAAGAAAAGAGAGAGANNAGAGAGAGAGAGAGAGAGACAGCCCTGGGGAAAGAAAGAAAGAAAGAGAGAGAGAGAGAGAGAGAGAGATGAAAAGCGAGGGCCAGCCGCAACACCGACCACTCGAGCGAGCCATGAGTAAAAGCGAACGGCATATCGCAAGAAATGACACTGCACATGCTAGATGAGGATGCAGTGCCAAGAACATGCTACCGACATGTGCCATTACAGGAATTGGGCGATGGAAAACCAGAGCTTCGACATCCCCCAGGAGTTACGGTACTTGGACCTCGCGTTTACCATCTTCTACGCGGCTCGGCTGCTTGGGAAAAGCCGTGGGTTTGCTGCCACAGTGAGCTTCGTGTCGGTGGCCTTGACAGGGGTTCACAAATAGACTTGGGCCGGCGACAGGCAACCGCGCTTTGAGGAAGGTTCCTTGGTCGATGGGGTGCAAAGTGCCAGTGTCCCGAACAAACAATCAGAATCACTTGAAGGCGGGTCAAGCTTGTTTGGCAACTGAAGTGGTCTTGAACTAAAGTTTGTGGGGCAGATGAAGTGAATCTTTTAGGCTTGATCCCAGTTTCTGTTGCACGATGAAACATCCAATCACGATCGTCCGAATTCTGATGTTTGGAAACAAACCAGCCTCAGGTATTGGAGCTGCTCCTGAAGTAACCGTGTCGCAAATTATTCAGCGTGGGTGTTCGTAGGCTGCATTTGCAGGTTGTGGAGCGTCTAAGGTCGAGGCAGGTAGGCATTCCGGAGGGTTATGTGACTCTGAAGCGCCGAAGAAGGGGTTTAGCGCAACACGCCGTGACTGTGGCCAGGTTCTTCGTCCATCGGCTCTTCTTCTTCTGGCGCGAGGACTGGAAGTGGAACGTTTTCGCTTCTCGGCTCGGATTGGGGGGGGCCTCTGGACGAGACCGAAAGCCCCGGCTCCGCCGCCAGACAAACACGCCGACAGAAGGAAGGCAGGCAAGGAGGGAGTAAATACATAAACGGAGAATAAGGGGAGCAAGCAAGAAGGAAGTGCAAAACGTCAGCAAGAAGCACGAAACACATAAATAATCGCGAAACACAAAGACATGCACGATGACAGCAACGACAGACACGCACAGACATAAGAAGAAGGTGAGAACGAGCGAATACTTAAAGAACGGCAGCCACGCTAAGTCATAAGGCTAGAAATGGATCACGACAGAAAAACTAACGGTCGAAACACGTATGACGGCAGTGAACAAACAAAGACATACATACAGATTTAGGGAGAAGGGAAGGAAGGAGTGAAGGAAGGGAGCAAGGGAGGCCAAATGAGTTCATCAATCGCCACCGCTTGAGGGGCGAGAGTAATGAGGGGCATGCTTAAGTAATGTGAACAGGGGAGGGTGTACGAAACGCGATCAATCGCATCACCGAAGTCTCGCGCAAATCTTTGTGATACCCGTCATTCGAGCAAACCCTGCTTCCGATGTCTTAATAAAGCTTTGCAAAGCTTGCTATGAAACACCTCCTGCAATACCTTGGTGAATCTTTTCGCAAACAGTCATTCCAGCATGGCTTGTTGCAATTGGAGTGGGCTGCCCCCACCCCCGGCCATTTTGGAAGCCTTGCAAAGCTTTCCATCAGGAATCTCACTACTATTGGCTCACTACTGTACTACTTACTCTTTTGATTTCATGGCTGTTATTACTAACTATTGCTACCATTGTCACTCTTGCTACTCATGTGCGACGACGACTTCTTCTGCTAACAAAATTGGCTTCCCCCAGAAGCCAAAAGCTAAACAGCAACGTTTAGATTGGATTCCCGCACGGCTTGCCGCAAGCAAGGCCGCCCCGCACCAGCAGAACAAAAGGCGTAACATACACCCGTGCTTGCATCCCAAGGATTTCGTGCTTGTGGCGATGGCTGTGCAAGAGCAGGTGGTGGAGTTCCTCATCCAACATGAGGCAGATGAATGTACACAGCATGTCACACTGCAGGTTGCCTTCGCAGGGTTTCTCGTGGTGTTCACGGCCCGGAAGTCCGTTCAGGTTGCAGTGTCCTTTCGTACTGAATGGGCAAGGAAGCATGCTGCAAAGTTAGGTTGTCCTCCGGTGTGGCAAAGAGCATGGACTGACCCAAGACGTAGAGCTCTTTGCAGGCGGGCTCGGTGACGAGACTGTCGTACATGCGCTCTCTGCGGGTGGCACGAGTGTCCAGGATCCTCCGCTTGACCCCTGGCTATGATTCGCGGTGAGACTCCAGTGAACGCAGGGCTTTGTCGTAGCTTTTTAAAAATCGTTCCGCAGTCGGCAATCGTCCCAGAATCGGCTTCGAGTTTCTATAAGGAGCCTCCGAAACTTTTGTTCAAGGGACATGTAATGAACGGGAAGGTCGTTGCCTGTTTCATACGCTGGCTACGGATGCCTAGGGCAGCTACAATGCTTCAGGCTTCATTATCATGGCTGTGGACTTCGGAATAGTGCGGATATGTCGACTGTTTCCGTTTAGATAGTGAGGGTTCGGCTTGGAAGTATAGCTCGCAGTGCTCGCAGGATTGCATTGCGGTGTTCTTGCATCCGCAGGTTACGAGCGATCCGCGTGATCCGCGAACTTCGCATGATGGTCTTCTCCATCATTAGTTCCTTTACGGCCTTGTTCTGGTGCTTTGGCTTGACTTACGCAAGGTTTTCCGGAGACAGCAATGTAGAGCGATGTGCGAAGCTGGTCTGCTTGGAGGAGCGTCATCTGCACTAAAAGCATCCAAAAAGGGGCAACTCTCCACATGGCCCGCGCCTCCTGACAACGAGGTGCTTGGTTCTCATCTCCTTGGTTATTTGCGTTTTCGCCTTGTTCTTCCTCCAGATATGCACCGACTACTTGATTGTGGAGCGAGACTCAATTGGCGAAGATGTCTATACTGACTTCCAAAGAACATTTGGATCGCTCACGAAAACGATGCATCTTGGCGGCGTCTGTTTGGCCACAAGTTCTTTGGCAGTGGTGCTGGTCATGCGCATGTGGCGATTTTACATGTTGCTGGTTTACGATGTGGTCATGACATCAAGAGTTTGGGGAACACCAGAGTTCGTCGGAGGTTCGTGCGGAGTCCCCAAGCGTGAAGAAGCGAGACGAATCAGTGAAAGAAAGAGCGACAGAGAGAGAGAGAGAGAGAGAGAGCGAGCGAGCGAGCCCCCGCCTTGTGCCCCTAGCAAAGCAAAGAGAGAGCGAGAGAGGCACACTCATGATCTCTCGTGGCTTCTGCATGCAACGGTAAAAGTAGCATTATAATGTTCTACCAATGAGTCTATGCCGCTTCTCCCAGTGAGCTCAGAAGACTTTGTAGACCCTGTAGGCCCTCTGAACACTTAACGGTAGCCATCTACTGCAACCAGGACTACCCTTTACCTGGCCACGACCGGGGGCTTCGACTGGGAGCGTGCCCTCTCCCTGCTACCGAGCTGCGCTTGAGAAAATCCGTGGCGGCCAAGGGAGACGTACCAGAGTTGCATGGGAGTAGGACTTGTTGCGTAATGATCTCGGGTACCAGAAAGCATCCTCTGATGTGAGAGTAGACCGGCCCATTCTTCCGGTCCGCCCAGGGTCTTGCAAAGTTTCAGATCACCCTCCGTGATCAAGACTCGGCAACAGTTCAAAGTCGGAGTGATAAACCCAACCAGCACGAGTTGCATGTTCGTTTGGGTGCTCCTTTCCAGCCCTCGCCATTCCTCAATCTGCCAAGGCTGAATCGTGTGGGCGTTGTTGGATCATGGGCTTGGCTCTTTTATATCGTGCCTGGGACCTGCATGATGGTAATCGTCGGGGTGAAGTGAGAGTGATCAGAAACGGTGTGATCGGCACACGGTAGGCCAACAGAGAACAGAGGAACAATTATAGAGCACCCCTTCGCAGCGTCGCTGCCAGGTTCTGCCTGTGACGCCTCTTACTGAAAATTGGCTCCTGCGTGCCCACAGCAGGCGGAAGTAATGCCAGCAAACAAGGTGTGGAGCGATATGGAGCTTCAAAGCTTTTGCAGTGTAGACTGAAGTCGACACCTGCAGAAGCTCGGGTAGGATCCGACAAGGACATGAGTAAGTTATATACTGAGGAGGGCATCCCCACAGAGTCCACCGGGAGACGGATCACCTGTCGGCCCGGTCATGCCGGTCAGAGCGACAGATCCCGAGTTTCACTTAACCTACATGTACACACAGAGCCTTAATTGAGGGACCGCGAAGGATGTTCATGTTCTGTAGTGTGGCTGTACCAAACTCCAAGACGAGAACTCCACCAACTCAGCACCCCGAGGCGTTCTTCAACTTCGCGCTGTTCAATGCACCTCGACAATTGACGGGCTAGGTATTCAAAGCAGTAGTTTGCCCTCTGCAGCCAATCATTGTGACATCCTAGATCCAATCCCCAATCCATTCCAAAACTCACGCCCGGCTTGCAGTAGATGCAGCACATCAGTTGTAAACCCAGTGGAATTCGCACAACAGGACTGTGGATCCATGTGTATCGGTTCACGAAGACCAGCTCGGTTTTTTACATAGAAGCACACGGTACCTGTCGAAGCTGAGTATAGACAGTACAGATCCCATCGCTCCTCCATGTGGCACCTGCTGCATCAGCACGTGAACGACGCTACCGCTGCAGGTGCTTACGGGAATGTTTGTTGATCACGCCATGAAGTGGTCGCAGAGCGATAACCAGAAACTTGGCGCAGACAGAGAGTCGGCATGCTCCGGATTGGGAGTTGTCAGCGTCATGTCGGTGACTTTCAGGCCCAGGGAGGACCTTCCCTTCGGGGCTTCAGCTGCTATGAGCTGCTGATCTGCTCTGTACCAGTTCCAAAGTCCTCAGGTCTCAAGTTACTAGTTCTCGAACCCTGGCTGCCGGATGCAGCGACGAAGCCGGACCCTGTCGTCCCAGTAGTCGGATACAGCTCTTCTTTGCAAAACTGAAGAATGTCTTCCGCCAAGCCTGAGGAGATCGCTAGCTTATTTTGGTAGTGTTCAGCGTTCAACACTTCAGAAGATTTATTGAGTCGTGGCAGGTCTGGAAGTTGGGACACATGATTACGGGTGGAAATGCCTGGCAGCGGATGTAGGTTGGTGGTAGTGCGGCAGCATCTCTAGATTCAGGTTTGTTTGTAGTGTTGTTTCATTCGAACGATACATTCTGATCACAGTGCCTCAAAGAATTGGTCGGTAGCAGGCCATTAGGAGCCTCGACAGTTGCAACAGCAGTGCTACTGTTTTTTGCATTTCTTGGCCAAGGTCGATGTAGGCGAGTAGCAAAAGTCAAATCCTGCATCCCATGTCATGCAGCTCAGCTTGCATCCATGGTTCCCCAAGAAAGCAGCTACTGTAGCGTAGCTATAGGTCTATTGAGGCTCTTGTACTTGATGTCCCATGATGCCCCATGGTCCAAGCGGCAAGGAATCTCATCACCGAGCATCGGTCCCAGGAGCTCCAGGATGCTGCACGCGCCTTGGCCTCAAAAGACAGGAAGGAACTGTTGAGGCTCGCTACTGGGGGGGAAAGGGAGGTGGAGGTGGGATAATAGGAGGGGTTCGACGCGGCTGTGGCACAATTCCTGCGTGGTATTGGAGGTTTGGCTCCGAACAGAATGCAGCCTGACATGAAATGGAATCATGACTGTTCCGAGCTTGGCGTTTCCATCGCTCCCCAAATTCAAGTTGGGTTCCTACAGCAACACTCCGAAAGTCAACCTGCGGCAGGTTGAAGACTGTTGGGATTGTCAGAATGATCGAAGACCGAAGATGAAGCAGGGCAAACCAGTAGCAGGGCTGGCAAAATGCTCGTGGATCTTGAAGACTTCAATGGCAAATAATGCTGCTAAGGATTGCAGCGGCTGTGCGAAGCCATTGATACCGAGAGCACGGGAAGGATATCTTGGGAAGATTTTGAGTCTTTTGTCCCTTGTCTTCATGCCGGTCTTAGCAGCATTCACTGCTTCGCATTTGCTGGCGAGTTCCGTTTACTTGTGGCCTTAGCTGGAGCATAGTGGCATGTGTGGCTCTTTATGGTCAGTCTGTTCGCACACATCATCAGTATCAATCGCTTTGCTGCTGTTCAATACGGTTGCTCGGGCCACCCTTCCAGGCATGTTGCATTGCACTGGTAGCTTCTGATGCTGTTTACCTGCCTAGCGGCCAGCAGCTTACTGCTAATGCCGTATATACTGATGCGACTGCGATGAAAGGTCTCAGATGAGTCGGCTCTGATCTACTTGGCTTCTCTTGGACTCGAGATCCACGACGCCAAGACCTTTTTCGACATGCTTGCGGGTGTGGCTTCGGATAAGTACATCGACATCGAGACCTTCGTGAAAGGTTACTTTGAATTGTTAAATGAAGCCTTTCGCCACATAGTGCTGCTTCATCGGACGTGACGGACGTGCAGAACTAGTGTGGCCCATCCCCAGCTCCAGGCTGCATGCGCATGAAGGGCCCGGCCACGAGCATCGACATGCTGTCGATGGCCTACGAAGTTGCTCGAACGCATCCTTTGCTTGCAGGAGCAGAAGCAGAAGTCATAAGTGGCTACGAACCGATACATGTTGCAAGGTTTTGCTAGCTGCATCTGGCAGCATCTGAACTCAGAGCAGATGGGTTTGGCAGTTTCGTGCCTTCCGTCGTTGTGCACGACGCCAGTTTTCGCGTACAGGTGCTGCAACCAGGCTGTAACTCTATGCCTCTCTGCACAACGGAGTGCTGGGCCGTTTGTCGGGCCGGCCCATAGTGATCACGACGTTTGCACGTCTATCGCCGGAGAGAGTATGTCTTCCAATTCTAAAGGTCACACAGAGAGGTATGATGAGAGTGTCTCAAGAGATCAGTTGAGAAATCCAACTTCCACACGAGGCGCGGTGAACTTGAGACTCTGAACATCGGCTAAATCGCGCGCGACTGCGGCCGGGATGATCATTCGTGACGGGTTCTTGTCGTTGCAACATAGTACTTACAAGCAAGATTGGGCCGATTCTGGAAGTTGCAGCCGGCCGGCTGACAGAAAATACAGCTCCAGCACATGAACGCGCGCAAGGTTACTGGCCGACACCACCACAAGTGATGGTGACTCTATGCACAATACCTGCTATCCTGCCAGTCCTGCCATGCTATAGACACTTTCTTGGTAGCTAGCGCAGTGCTTCGACATGATCGCATTCTGGATCTTCCGAGGTTACTCTCATGCATCGCCAGAGCAACCGGATCGAGCGATCCCTTGCAGAGGTGCAGACGTTTCAGCACAAGGCTCGGCAGGGCAGCCTGCGCTACCCCGTCCGGACAGTGGAGCTGGAACGCTGTAGATTGCTGTGTTGTGTTTCACATTATCCGATCCGATCTTTTTGTGGCGGCCAGGGCCCGGAAGATGCGAGCGTTTCTCCTTCGAAGTGTTTGACAGGGCTGCCCCGAAATTCAATCTCTCGAAAAAGTCCTGTGGGATGCAGGACAAGTATATGTGGTCGAGCTATGTGTTTACACATTTGCACGGGTCCATGCTGGGGTCACACTTGCGGCCCTGAGGTGGAACGCCTTCTGAAAGAGCAGCCAGCGCGACGTCAGCACCAGGTGTTTACCGATGTTTTCTGACTCGCTTTGAAGTACTTTTCAGCCAGCTTCGGGAGTCGAGCAGTCACTGGCTCGCAGCATCATAAGCCTTGGTGGCAGCCATCCTATCAACGAATGTGTGTATGTTTTATGTGATGACCATATGTTGCTTGTTATGTCGTTCTCGCTCGCGTGTAGGCAGGTTGCCGAGAACGGTTCGCGCCGAAGTTCGATAGATCTGTCGTTCGAAAGATGCTGGAGGCAAACAGACCCTTCCCAAAATGGCGCAGGCGTCTCCGCTTTGTTTCCAGATCAATTGTCGGTCCATGCAGACCTGCTTAGCCAAGCGTGTGGCAGAAGTATGCAGAAGTCAGTGGACGAGTGTGCACGGGTTTGGGGATCTTGTCTAGCTGACATTGGCAGCGAGAAGCCGGTCTGCTGGAACCTGTTCCATCTGGTGGATACCAACAGAGTTGGCCATCCGATCCGCGAGGTTCCAAACACGGGTGTTTCTGGCACTTTGCACCTCAGCCTACCTGAGCACCGAGTGCATGTGCACTTACTCGTAGGCATACACGGCACAAACACATACCACATACACACTGCCACACTGACACACACACACAGGCATGCACGCACATATACACACAGAATATGTATATAGGTGCAATGTATATATATATATATATATGTACGCAGAAACACATAAATTTGTGTACATCCTTCATTTATGCATGGGGATTTGTCTACATGCACCCACAGACACTTATGCAACTAACTGTAGACGCAGGATATGTGGGGGTACATTGTGTAACGGCCTTGGCACCTTGTTCGAATCTTGGAGAAACTGTTACAGTGTGCTACAGGGTTCGAACAGTCACTTAGCATTCATCGGTGCTTTTTTCCAGAAGTACACTCCGGATTGTAAGTGCAAGTCTGAGGAGGGGTTTGATCTGTCTCTCACCCGGATTTAGGGACACCCAGGAAGTAGCAAGTAGCATCTTTGGCACAGTCCGACAGAGCGAGGGACAAAACAAAGAAGCGCGCCCAGCCGGGTTTGTCAGGTCTGTTGAACTGAATTTGGAGGCCGACGCCGACAGGGCAATGACATGCTTGAAGGATTGACGTGGCTGTAATGGCAGCTTTGGTCGCAGAATCGAATGGGGTGCAGGCCACAAAATCTCGTGACACGAGGATTCCGCCTCCTGGTCCTGATGTCTCGATTTTTGTTGCTGACTGTTCAGTTTGACTAGCCATGGATGGTGTGGCGGTCAGCATGCGATATGAGGGTTGAAGCTCTCAGGTGGAGCGCCACGAGATCCAGCACCTCTTGCGTATGTTTCACCTTCCCGAGGATGTGGCAGACCAGGTGCGGTTGTGGTAACCAAGGTTTGTCTTGTGCTTCTGCTTTCTTACACAGCCAGAGGTGATGCATGGCTCTTGTGTCGGTACGAAGGCTTAGAACAGGGAGTTACAAGTAGAATGAATTAGACAGTGCCTGCATCCGAGTGTGCCCTTCTTTTACGAAATTGAATTCGATCTTACACCCAGCTGGCATAGCAAAGTATCCTTACAGGCGGCCTATCATGCATGTAAGAGAGTTTAGGGTTTAGGGCAGCCGCTCGATTCATCCTAGGCTCCATGGTATTCCCTTCCTTGCTAATTGACTCTGCAATCTTGCGTAGAGGCTCGCTTGTGCTAGTTAGTTGTGGGACGTCCGACTTACCACAGAGCCCCAAAGCTTCGTGATGGCTCGGAGCCGCCGATACTTGGGTCTTGCTCTGCTGGCCTTCTCGCTTGAGCTGCCCGGTGCGCATTGTCTGAATTCGATTCGGTTCGAGGGAAACAGACTTTTTGTCGCTGCGATCAGGAAGGACCGAAGCACGTTGATCTCGGATGAAGCCCGAACGCCGAACGGCCCAGGTTATTTTGGAATTTCTCCTTACCTCTGCCTGGGAGAACAGGCTGCGCATGTGAAGCTTGCTGTGACCTGTCAGCTTGCAGCCAGATGTTTCGAGTCCTTGCAGCCCATATACTCTGCGACCCCCTACGCAAAGTCGGCTCGGGCGAGAGCCGACGCCGAAAACATCTGTTGACTGAGACCTGAACCTCAGCTGTGGAACGAACAGCCAAGATGCCCTGGAGAAGGTGGGCAAGAGCCGCCGGAGCCCAACCACGAGAACCGCTTCGTCATCGATCCTCGGTTGCCTTTGGAGCTCCACGTTGGGGTATAGGGAAAGATTTTTGAAGATGCATCTCATGTTTCAGGATGTGGCCAATGAGCTCTGGTATGGAGCGGATGACATGCTGACTGCCGGGCCGCTTGCACCTGACAGGGAGAACCGTTCGGTCGAAAGACTGAGATGGTTGCCCTGAACCACAAACTGCCCCAGCCCACTTTTCTGGCAACGCTGAGCCTGACGCTGTTTCCCGCTCATGTTGCACCGTGAATCACAAGAGCACCAGGGCCTCGCACGTTTGCTTGTCTACAGGAATAGACGGGACAGAAGAACGATAGGATTCAAAAAACATTTCCAATGCAAAGGTTTGGGATGGCAAGATTCTGCCGTGGATTTGTGGGATACTTTGCCCAGCCCTGCATCGCAACCTCCCAGGGCCTTCATGGGCGATGAGGGTTGGGCCGCCCGTGGCGAGAGCCCTGCCACCCTCGGCTCGGTCGGCATCTCCCTCAGGTGACATGACTGAGGGATTGTGTAAGAGTCTTTGGGTCTCTGGGGAGTTGGCAAACAGACGGAAGCTCTTCGTCCAGTCTTGAATACACGAAATTTTCTTAACCGGACAAGATTCTGCGCATTTAATTGGTTTGATTTTCTGTTCAGCTGTGCAGCGGAAAAAGAAGCATGAAGTCTGGGCTTTTCGCTGTTTTCCCTCCTCCTCTTCTCCAGGAATGCCGCAGAAGCTCTTCTGCTGGCCGATTGGTATGAACCTTTCCGCCAAAGTTCTAAAGAGTGCAGCTGGACTTGTTGGGGATCTGAATAAGAGAACGTTCGGGATTCGGCCGAATATGCATACAACACAACAGCACTCGCCGCATGATGTTGTGCGCCTGGCCCTCACCTACTGTAGTAGCTGTTTGGTGCCATGGTGACGTTCTCAAAAACAGCTAGGATGTCACAAGCACCTAGATGATGCCCGTCTTGCCAGCCGGCCAGCTTGGGTTCATGGCATTAGATAGCGGAGTGTACTTGCAACACCAGTCAGGATTGCTCTGGCGAGTTGGAAGTGGCTGGTGCGGCAGGTGCGAGGGGAAGAAACTCCGGTGCCTTTCAGGGTGACCTGCAGTTTGCAAACACCCACCCATGTGCCCCTAAGGCGAGCCCTATCCACAGCCGCCTCTAGAAGTTTGGCCTAGGGTCAAAAAACGAGGTCGCTAGCTTAGGCCTGTAGGCCCTGGAGTAGATTCAGTATAGCGTCGACGTATTTAGGGGTCTGTGGGAGAGGAACAAGGTTCTACAGGGGTCTACGGGCGTCTAGGGTAAGAAGCGGCTGCTTTGGGGAACCGTCTTCAGGCACTCGCTAGATTGCTCAATCCGGTGTTACGCCCGGCAGCTGTTTCCAGTAAGATGTGCCCCTCAGCCATAAATAATTCGCCTCATGAGCTGTGCTTAGTGGCCAGGCTCAGGATTTCGAGGAATCGTGTTGGGTTTTTTCGGGTGGGGGACCGTGACGGCAGCCCCTCCTTAAATGTCTGTTGCAGGCGACTACTATTTCCTGGAGGAGGCGCGGACTGATCTGTGTTTCTCAGGCTCTCAGAGCCCAGGCGGAGTCTGCTTGGAGTCCAAGGAACTCAGCCAAACACCACTCTTTGGTAATCCGATCTCCGAAGCCCCGACATCCCTGAGGATTTCTTCTCAGTGGCGGCTGCGCTGCCCGGCAATGCTGACTCGGAGGAGGATTTCGACACATGGGGCCTCGAGCAGGCTCTCGATTCTGGCAGATTCAAGCGGGTTTTGCAGATGCTGAGCTTCAACTGAAGGTTTTCGTGAGTTCTTCTGCTGGCATCAAGTCCAAGGGTTTCAAGCTATTGGGGCTTTTGGGTGCTTCTGCTTGCACTCCTGAGGAATTACATTCGCATGAAAGGTCAACGCCTTCAGAATTCGCCGCGTCTTCAGCTTCGCTCACTCCGGGGTACAAGTTGACGCATCGTCTCATAGATGGTCTTTATCCAGCCTTGACCGGAGGTGAGAATCCCGAACAGGCCCTGCTTCTTACCAATGCAGGCACACTTAAGTGAAGGAAATGATTGTCCAGTTGCTTGCTCTAGTTGGACACAAGAGACCTCGTCTTGCGAGAGCGTAAGTGAAGGTTGGAGACATAAACGTGCAAGAATGTGCGTTGGCAGACCGACCAGACCAGTGACAATCTTACTGTTTCCCGTGACGCGCCCTGCGCATTCGTGAGCATTTTGCCACCTGTTACGTACTGTTGGTTTGCTGGATGGCTACCTCCAGCAGACGGCTGCCTCCATTCATCAGCATGTCTCCGGAATTGTAAATATTTCCTTCGGTTTGCTCTGCAAGCCGTGAGACCGCAAACCGTTTGCATCTTGAGTCTCAATGGCCAACGGGGATGGAAAACCCCGCCCGCGGCTCGACTTGACTAGGTCTGACGTCCACTAGTTCAGCGATGAAAGAGCAAAAAACACCCTGATGTGACTCAATCCTTGCGACATCTTGACAGTCCGCACCGACGGCAGATGCAGCAGTGGCAGCCCTGGGCCGACTCAGTGCCGAGGAGCGGGGAAATGATGCGACCTTTTGAACATATACATGAATCAAAAGTTATACGTGCTACATTATACATTATGCGTCGTACGTAGACATAGGCGCAGGCACATATGCATAGGCATGCCCATACAGCTACACAAACACAGAGATGCTTCTTCAGTTGCACATACATGCGAACGTGCAAAACCACAGGTTTCAGGCAATTCTTTCACATCTCCTCTAAACGGGCCTTGTTCTTATGCTGGTTGGCTTGAACTCACGCGGGGGTTCTCAGGAATCCCCCGCAACTTTGAACTTTGACTCATGGGGTCGAACGATTAGAGTTGGAGTGCATCCTTGCGACACTGTCTTTGCGGAAACTGCCAGGCTCAGTTGTACGACGGGCAGACTGGCTAGTAGGGTGCAGTGGATGTAAGAGTGGATCGCGCACAGCATGTGGTTGTAGTTGCAGCAAGAGGCAAGCGGCCGTCCGACCTAGGTCAATTCCAGCCGGGTTCGCAGATTCCCGAGCTCTAATGCGAACTCTCATGGTCCTGGATGCAAATTGTCCACACAACCGTGTCCCAGATGGACTCCTTGGCTGGACGGATCAATGTGGAGTCGGTGGCTGGCCAGGTGCGAAGCATGTGAAGACAGAGCAAGGGGGAGAAATACAGAGAGAGAGAGAGAGATTGGCCAAGATAGCTTCTAAAGGGACAGTATACCCATTCATGGTCGAAGATGTCATTACACCAAGATCACGGCCCGTGTAAGAGTCCGCGTACCTGCGCCAGCTCTTCATGGCACTAGTCGTTGTGTGAACGAATTGTTTATAGCATCAGCAGAGGAGCACATGAACGCAGCAAAGATGAATCCGAAAAGACCCCTAGATGCAAAATCCGTCTCGAGGCTCTCAGCCGAACGGCGGAGAACTGGCGCAGGGCTGCGAGGCTCTTCCAAGGCTGCGCAAGCCCTGAAGTGGAGTCAAAGATTGCTTTTGGAAGTTAGGGGTCGGAGTGCAGCACGAATGAAGGCCATGGTTCCATTGTGGGCAAGTTCGAGTGGGTTCTTCACAGCGTCCAGCATTTGGTCACGTTGTTTTTGGTGTGTGGCTGTCAGGGCGCACTTCAGTCTGCGGGTTACATGCAGAGATCAGTTGCGAGAGCATTAGAGGAAGCGGGAGACATCATGTGGCGTCGTGCCGATGCTCCACACTGGAAATGAACTGTCGAACGAGGGAAATTTCCAAAAATCCTTCTCAAGTCATCCAGTCGTGTGTCCAGGCGGTCTTGTCTTATCGTTAGTTGAGCAACTTCTGTTTTGAGACCGTTATTCTTGGACTGAGACTACTTAGGCACTGTATGTGGACTGGTCTGTCTAAAAAGCCTAAGCCTAAGGAGCAGCAAATCCTGCTCAAGGTGAGAGGGGGCGGCTATGTCAGTCTTCTCGTGAATCTTTCCGACTCCTAGAAGTGCTGAGATCAGCTCGATATCCGGAGCAGGCCAGCCCGCTGACGAGTCTGAGGAGGCTCGACCGATTTTGGCAGACTGGCTTCGTCATGCACTGGCTTCGTCATGCATTTGTTGACTAGGTCGGCCCAACGACATTCACCCCCAAGATGTCCCCAGACACTGCCCGCCCAAATAGAAGTCGAATCTGTGCCCCTGTGAAGCTGCCAGGAAGAGAGTGCGGACTCTGCGGCTCTGCCCTCCAAAGTTCAAGAGGCTCTCGCTGAGGCCACTGCCCGTCTTCCCGACAATGTATGTCAGAGCATCTCCCCAACATTGAACTGTAACTCCTCCACCTGTAAGTTGAGAAGGAAACACGCCATTGTTGGTTTCCCGTCATGCTCGCCGACTTGGCTGGCAGGCGATGAGTGACACGGAGCGCCAAAGCACGCTTCGCAGGCTTCTAAAGCAGTACCATCCAGATCAGAATCCTGGCGAAGAGGACCCGAGCGGGAAGGGATAACTTTCAGCAATTCACGCTTGAAGCCTAGGAAGCCTGCAGCCGCCAAAACGTGCTGATCGCTCATCCAATCAGCCGTGGCCAGGACGACGTCCTTCCTGTCTTCCTCAAACTTCAAGAACTGCGGGAGCGATCTGGTGACTGAGTGTCTTGGCTACAAATTTGAGCAGTCGCTTCTCGGAGATATCTTTGCGTATCCAGAGACTCTACGAAGACCTTCGCTTACTCTCAGAATTCCACACGGAAGTACTTCCATTCTACATTCATATTCCTTGACCAGTCTCCTCAACGACCTGACTAGTTTATGCGGCGCATTCAGTCAAGCACGTCGGACTGTCTAGTTGTATCTCATTGGAGCAGCACCGCGACATCATGACTGCATTATTCGAGCCAGCAATCACAAGGTGATTTCTTGCAGGCCTTCGCACGGACGATTCCGGTGCCAGTGATGCAATCTGATGCAGGAGATCGACGATGAGGTAGGAACATACTGCGAGGATTGCTATAAAACGAAAGCTAGAGACTGCTGCGGGGCAAGCTGGAGACAGCTATGCTGCCTCTGCTTCATCAACGTGGAACGACGCACAGTCGCAAGTTGTCGCTCAGTCGCCAATTGCTCGGATCGGCTCATGACGGCGAAAGTCTGCCTTCCGAATCCTGTGCTGCCGGAAAAAGACCGTCCAGTCAACGCAACGGCATCAGCTTTGTGCTAATTAAATCCACTGCGGTTCTTCCTGCAGCTGCACAAAGAGTGCTCGGGTACACATGTCACGAAACTTCCCTGAAATGCTTTGGGCCGCGCCAGTTCTTCAGCTATCTGGACACAGAGAACCTGGGCTCTCTGGATTTTCAGGTGGCTGCGAGAGGGGGAGAGCTCTCAGAATGGGCCCATTCAGCTTTCCGGACGTGATTTCGTCCAAACTCCAAAAAAGAACATGTAGGCCTCGCCGCCCCGGATTGTCTTCAGACAAAGGACAAAGGGTCATCCACCTGCAACCGCAAGATTCCGCTGATGCAGGAAGTCGCAAATGTCATCGGCAGCATTCTCAGCTCTTGGCAGGGTAGCAGCCCGGGAAGTATTGCAAGAATTGAGGAAAGTGACTTCACAAAGTGCGCAGCTTATGGGTGCGCAGCACCTTATCATGAAGACGGTTCTTACAACCTAGGACCAGCTTTGGGATTTGGAATGTACAGGGATGCCGTAAAATTTGCAAGCGCTCGGTGAGAATCAGATTTTCGGCAGCCGTAAGGGATTCTCGAACATGCCATTCATGCGGCAATCGCAGCTGAATCTGGGAACGCCGGCACGCGAAAAAAACCTGCCGGCTCACTGCCGAGGTCAGTTCATCAAGCCAGGATACAGGCGGATCGGAGGGGTTCCGGGACCTGCGAAATTGGAGTTGAGAAGATGTGTGGCACAGCAACTGACCAGCATTCAGGGTGTCACAGCCCCGACAGCGTTTGTTTGCCTACCGGTTTCTCCATTACATGGATGCCTGCTTCCAACTCAGTAGCTGAGTGGATACGCTTTACACTTTGAAAGTGTACACGTTTCTGGGCTTATGAACTCAGCAACTAAGTCAAAACGTCGTAGACTCGCCCGTGTGTGTTCTCGGACAGAGCACAACGATTGGAGTTGAGCTTTTGCCACAGCGCGCCTCGTCATCGCTGTCACCTGTAAGCCCGAGAAGTTGGCAAGGACCGAGAACAAGATCAGTTGTTCAGTGTTGGGGAGCCGCCTTGGAAACGTCTAGTCTAGTGCCGTGAATTATAGTAGCATCGACAACTTGTTCGAAAACATGGCGAGCATGTTTGGCGGTTTTTCTATCGTGCTTTGTCAGCAAGAGCATGCCGCCGTGTAAGAGTTTCCCATGAGTGTGCTGCTTCAAGATTTTCGATCATGGTAACTTGCAGTTCCCACTTTCGGCCATTCATCAGGGCACAGCCAGCGGCCAGCCGTCGGCCGCCGCCGCCGCCACCGCCACCGCCACCGCCACGCCCAAGCTCAGCACCGAAGAGCCATCCTGCAAGCGCCTGAGAGTTCCGTGCATAGACTCGCTTCTTGTTGCTTGATTCGCGTTTACATGATCCTTCTTCCCGGGACCTCGGAAGCGGGCGATCAAGTAGCAGTACATCGTAGCTGCTACTGCTACTATTGCCGTGGCTGTGGCTGTGGCTGTCGTTAATGTCGGCTGGGTTACATGGACGAGCATGCCGTGCTGTAGGTTCCGACAAAAGCCGTCCGCAATGCTGAAGTGCCTGGTATTCCGGACATGACAAGCGTGTTTGCGGGTCGATCTCTCGCGCGACATGACGACGCCTCCGAGGAGAAACGTCTATCAGCCCTAGCCCCGAGCAACACTCATGAAAGGCAGCATGCACATACGACAGCGGCAAGCCACAGATGGTGTTCGAGGCACCGTAGCAGGAGGTCTGATTGGAACAGCACGAATGTTTAGGACGAGAGCATGCGGAGCCAGACGATGCAGGAACCCAACAACATCTGATTGCAGGCGCCCCGTCCACAGCAAGGCGGAGCCCAAAGTGTGGACCCAGGGCCGCTGGAGGCGCTCGAGTGCATCTGGATTTCGGCTTGACGAGGGGCCTCGGCGTTCGGATTTAGATGTCATTTCAGGGTGATGTACGTGCTCCATAAACCAAGTATTTACGTGGATCTTGGACAATTTGCGGAGGTCTGGTTGACAGGATGTTGCCGAGACATATATCGAGCAAATTCTGAGTACATCTGAGAGATGAGACAGAAGCAGTATTCCCGATAATGAACCGACGCAACGATGAATGTCAGTACGCGGCGAAAGCTTAGCAGTGGAGCCGCTAAACTACAAACTTCGGCATTTCATGAGGTGGCTTATGCAGTAGTACGGATTGTGGGACGTGTGGGGCGATTGGTGTGCAGCACAATCATGGCCACCGCTCCATTCAGGAGTGGACTTCGCAGGTCTACCGTGCATATAAAGGTTCATCTACCGGGAATGCGGCTGCGAGGAACATGCCATGAACGTATCACCGTCATCACCAAATTAATAACGCGTGCATCATGGCAACCATATCCCTTCTAGATCCTTCTGGCATAGAGGAGCAATATGCATCATGGAGCCTATAGACCCCCAGAGCTGGTGCCGTCAGGTCTCCACGCTTTGCGGTAGTAAGCCGCAAGACTCTGTGGGCTTTATATAGCTGGCCAGCCAACATTCCAATTCCAAAATTTCTGCAGCTCCGCAGCAATGAGAGTATATGGCTCAACATGCAAGTTTAGATTCCAGCCACATCTTGACACACTGGCTCCGGAACTGACACGTCGTACCTACGTGGCATGAGCGCAGAAGCAGGTGCCGCTTCACATCAGAAGCAACAGTGCAGCTCATTTAGAAGGACCCCTGCACCGATGCTATCAGCCGTCTAAAAACACCGAACCACGGCTACCTTGACTCGTGGAGTGGAGACTCCAGATTCGCCATGAGGGGCTGAGTTGGACCAATGTGGAGGAGACCTCGGTCTTGGGGGACTGATCAAGCAAGCTTGCAAGCTGCTGTCCCAGCCCACCCGTTGCCTTTTTCGATGTCTCGTGCACAGGAGACATGCTGACCAAGTCGATGAGCAGGAGAGGGCCCAAGAAGTATGCAGCGATCTTCGTAAATGATGAGCTCGGCGTGGGGGGTGGAGTGGTGGGGGGGAACTTCGCCTAGCATCTAGCGAGTCTAGCGATGGCCTCACATGCACCGGGGTGTTTGTGCATTGTGCAAAGGTCGCGAAGCCAGAGGCGGCCCCAAAGCGCAAGCGCAGCATGGCGGCAAGTTGGGCTCATCCTTGTAAGCCTGGGTGGGCAGCCGTGCAATTGCAGTACCCAGCAGTGACCATGATATTATGAATCATTCTAGCCCCACGTGGTTTGCTGTTGTGGAGCGGCAGGGGTCATTTCCGTCTCCTGGCAGGGTGGGCTTCTGTATTTTGTATACTAAAGGTTTCATATGCCCTTACACATTCGCCAGGGGGCATGCCTGGCTATAGTAGCTGTACTTGTGGGTTGAAGCTTGCGAGAGGGCTCGCGAGGTCCCGGAGTCCCCGCCAAAGCTTGTCCACCGAAGCTGCAACCGTGCCGCTGTGGTTTTTGTGAAAGCAGGAAGCTGCATGCCTTTCGCGGGGACCTACGAGTCAGTTGTGCTCCTGGGCTGAAGTTGTTTCTGGATGTAGGTGTTGGATTCCGGGTCAGCTGCAGCTCCAGCACCCAAGACGAATCTCAAGCCCAGGGAAAATCTTCTTAAGCTTATATTCAGAAACTGAGCAATGATTGAATTTGCACTCCCAACTCCGGGTGACGATCTGCAGATTTGTCCGGCTCGTGTTCAAATTCTTCTGCGACCTTCACATGTTCATTCTACATCTCAGGGTATTACGATGTTCCATCGAATCCATGAGAGCGCCCAGGGAAGCCATCATCCGGCCGCCGAGGGCGCCGTACGAAGCTTCGAACTTGGGCGACTGGGCTGTACCACACCCTTCAGGGGCTGGAGGGCGGCCTGCTTCGCTTTGTGCACCCCTCGCATTTGCAGAGATTCGACGAGCATACCTGCCAAGCAAGATGATACCAGAAGCAGCAATTCGTCGAACCGCGCCACAGTCTTCGCCAGAATACCATCGACGCCGGAGCATAGCTTGCAGCTGACATCATTGAGCCATGTGAGTTCGCCGCAGAGTAGCCCCAACATGGTTTTCAGCTTTGGGTGACGATATACATACATACATACATACAGACAGACATACATACATACATACCTACGTAC